AAACCAAGAACGAGTTGGATGTAAACCTTTTGAAGTTACAAATAACTCAGGTGATGAAATAAAATTAGTGTCTCTGGAACGTAAATATGATTTGACGAGATGGATAGGACAAGCCAATGTGTTTTCAAAATATTGAATAATAACCAGAGTTCCAAGGAACCTTTTATCTCCCTTAGGATAAGCAAGATGATACTGAACAAATTTTTTGCAGACCAAAAATTGAAGAGCGCATCACAAAATTATTTTCCTTTCATCATGAAGATTTTATGAATCAGGAACTGTTAATTCTCCTAAACGATGCAGTCCTCCAAAACCTAAACCCAGCATTGCTAAAAATAATTTATCGTCATGGGAAGAAGATGATTTCTTGACAACCTCTTCGATTTGATGAACTGATAAAGCTTTCTTTCTGACCACTGGCTTAGATAATTCATTCAAACAATGCTTCATAGTGTCAATTACTTCTTGGTCTCTTGACTCACAACGAATTGATGGAAAATTTAACTTAAATATATGTGCTATCCCTACTAAATAAGCTTGAACCAATCTAGGTGAAATGATACGACTCAAATAAGAAATGTAATCACATAAGTTTCTGACGTTAGGAATAAAGGAAAGATTGAATTTTTTGCAGAAAGAAGCGAAATTCTTAAAACCACTTTTGTACTTAATTAATGATGTTTTAGCTACAGTTGAACGACAATCTTCACTTGATAACTTGCGTAAATCTTCTAACAAGATGTTCAACATAGTCAAGGTCTTTTTGGATTTACCCATTTCGTCGAACGTGAGTTTAACAAAGGTACCGACAAATTTGCTTTGAGACCTCCTGAAGCTAGGATTGGATTGACTTTAAATAGAGTGACTGAAAGTGCTCCAATATGTTGACAAAGATCCTCTAACTCAGTCTGAGACACGTCAGCTTTTTGTCGTGATAGGTCATCAGCAACAGTGTTGGATTCTTTTGGAATGTGCATGACTTTTACGTCAGCATCCACCTCTACCAACTGAGACACGCGGTACCGAAACAAAGGTCTCACTATTGGATTTGGAGAATGAGAATTAAATAAATCGCATACTAATTGAGAATCTGAATGAATGAAAATCTTCTTTGATCCTTTCTTAATGCCAAGATTGATTGTGCAAACCACTCCTAATAACTCCGCCCAGTAGATGTTTCTAATCAGTGGTGGTAATACTGAAACTCTTCCTAAACGAGGACTTGGTTCCCAAACTCCAATTCCCATCATGCACGCATCAGTGAAGAATACAGAATCAGTGTTGTTCAACTTCCATCTCATAGATTTAAGAAATCAAACACCCTCTGCATTTTTGAAATAGTTAAGCAGCCATCATAAATCATCTTGATTTTCTTTGTTCACGGGAATTTTCATATACTTCTTATACTTCCCTGCTATCTTTTCATATAAACTTTGTAACGCATACCGACCCCATGGCATTGAAGTACATGCCAACAAAGCCGTACCCAGTAACTCTTGCCATTCTTTCAAGCTTTGTTTTGGTTGCAATACAAAATCTTCAATTTTTTGAAGTAATTTGATTTTCTTGTCGACATGAAGATACATAGACATTTCTTTTGAATCCACTATATGACCAATGATTTCTATGACAGGACTAAAGATCTGTTTTTTCCATACCCAAGGAATTCCTAACATATCAAACAAATTTAGTAATTTCCCTTGAGAAATTGGAATTCGATGACCTTTGAAAGAAGTGAAATTTTTCTTAGCACAAATACCCCATACATCATCCATAATATTATTCATCCTTTTGATATCAAAAACGAATTCGGCGATCCATGATACCAACAAAAATACTCCACACCAAATGTGTGGAGAAGCTGCTGAACCAAATGTTAGATTATAATCAACTCTTTTCTTATCATTAATTCTCATGATCTGGCGGATTTGATACTGAAGATGAAGAGGGATGATTCTAAAAGCCGTTTCTACGTCTAATTTCCATAATACGAGGTCTTCTTCTTCTTCCTTCATGTCAATCACATATGGAACAAAATTCTTCAGAGAATCATAGGTTACCGCAATATTGTCTTTATCAATTAAGTCGTTCGGAGATGGGTTTCCAGCACTCATGTTCGAACAAACCCGCATTTTCACCGAGTCTTTCTTAGAAGTCATGAGTAGTGGTATGACCTTCATGCCGGGAAGAAGTGTTGAAAATTCTTGAGAATATCAACCTTTATCTATCTCTTCTTGACATTGAACTACTAATATATCCTTGAACGTTTCACATGACACATGATTCGGACCATCCACCACTTCAGACAATGGAAGCGAAGAACTAGGCCAAAATCCCACACGTAAACCTTTTAGCACTGAATCGACAAATCGTCTATTTGGGTGATGAATTAACAAAGTCTCGAGTTTGTCAACTTTGATTGGCATATTAATTTTGAATAGAAAATGATACTGTTTAAGAGCATAAGCTGCATCTCGATCTTCCTCTAACGACGGAGCATCCGGGAATGGTCTCGCGTAAATGCTCGATTCAATGGCTGGAGAACAACCTCTGTCATTTACGCCATCCCAGATATACCCTCATAAAAACTTATGAGAAGAGCTTTCATCAATGATCATTTCTTCCTTTCCTTTTGTCGATCTAAAAGAACTGAAATGTCAGATCTTATGAAGCTATTTTTTAGAATTAAGTGAAAAACCAACCCGAAGACAGATTTTTTGTCTCCTTCAGGTATGCTTACAACCTGGGTGATCTTTCCGACATCCTTTGACATTCTAGAAATAAGCACACATTGTTAGTTACCACTTTCCTTGAACTTATCACACATGAGCAAGAAAAATATAACAATAAACAACAAAATACCAACACATTTATGTTGTCTAGTGCATTTGTCGCCCAGGGCGCAGTGACCAAGATTACAAGCAAAATAATATGTTTCGGCTTCGTTCTTGGCCCCCCTGGTGTCTTCAACTCCAACTCCACTTTTGTACTTAGTGTGATCATAATAGAGAGGAGAGTTCTGATTTCTTGACTGATTTTGATTACGTTGGTTAGAGCTTTGACGGCTTGGACCTTGATATGGTCTAGCACTTGTCAACACTTCAGGTTGTCGAAGTTGAGGTTTGTATGCGTCCGCCATGTACCTTGTTGATCAAGTAGCCAATGACTTATGGTCAAAATCCCCAAATGATAAGTTTTCTTTTGCTGCAAAGTTCCTACGTAATTACACAGCGTCGAAATTTGCCACACACATCCAATCTGCTTTTGCTCCATCAGACGTAAATCGCTCCTTAATGAAATCGGCGTATTGAACAAAATCTTTGTAACAACTTGGGAAAGCCTCTTGATACGTTCTTTGTAGAATGTCAAAATAATAGAACCATTCTTGTGCATTGAGAAGTTTTTCTGAAAGTGCTTTATTCTGAAGAGAAATATTTTTATCATGACCACCAACCACCAAAGGAGCAGTATATCCTTTTTGTTTAGCCAAGTATTCTCCTTTGATATGTCGCAAATTGATATATTCTCCCTCCAGAAGGTATTTTGTAAGAGTCTTAGGAAACTCTGCTGGTCTAACGCTTCTATTGAATCCTTTGACAGCCAAAGATATGCTTGAAGCATAACCTTTCTTGGCTCGTGCAAATCGAATTGCACCTGGCGTATAAGAAGCCTCTGAATTCGGCCCTGTCTCCGCTCTGGAATACCAATCAAATTTCTTCGTCTTTTTATCATTCTTTTCGTCTGAATCGCCTGAAATATCTGATTCAATGTCGGTTTTATGATGTTTCAAACGTTTACTATCTCTCTTTCCAATATGAGGAGGAGTTGATTTAGACCGTTCTGATCTCTTTTTACCACTATTTTGTTCATCCAGTAAATTTCTTGCCGTTTGAGCCAGGTCAATCTCTTCTTGAGTAAGTATATGCACTTGTGGATTTCCTTGGTCACTGCCACGTCTCTGAGGACCACTTCCTTCTCTATTATCTCTTTTATCAATAACAATATCTTCCGGGAACGTCGGATTAGAAGATAAGTCAAAAATGAATACAGGATCTTTTTCCAATACAATAGGGCTTGTCGGTGTTGGTCCTTCATTCTGAAAAACTGCTCGATTGTTCTGTTTATCTTTTTTAATAAGTTCAGATGCAAACTTGGACCATTGTCAATACCAGTTTGGAGAATCAAAAGGCACGATCGCAGCATATAATGATCACATTTCTGCCATAGATTTGCTATTTGAACCCCCATTTGTCTCATATTCAATGGACAGGGCTGCCAACTTGTCGGCCACCTTTTTAGCACTCTTGTAATCAAATGAATCATTATCACTCCTTAAGAGAAATTGATAAATTGGTGGTTTTTTAAGGGAAATTGATGGTTTTTAAGGTAAACTGATGACTTTATTATACCTTTTGTGATCAAAAATTTGATTTGAATTAATATACGATGAGTTTTAACGAGCTTAGATAATGATTCTTGAGTTTGAAGACAAACTTTGACGAAAGTGAACGTAATGGGAGTTGGTAAAGAGAGAATAATCGAATGATGTCATATCTGAAATTCGAGAGAAGATATAAGAACCGACCCGTCAGTTCCCCGAACCACATGTAATGTAATGTTACCAACTTTCCCATTCCACTAGGTTAATAACAAGTTACCAACAGCGATTATCTTGATCACCTCTTTTGTACATACTTAATTATTTCATCTTCAACAAATACATTACCAATAGAGTCCAAAGTGTAAACTAACCAAAAACTTGTCAAATTACCTTTTCATACTTCTCCCAAATCCAAAAACCAACTCTAGATAAAACCAACTCACATTAGAGGTACCAAGACCAATTTCTTTTTCTTGTCTTTATATTCAAATTAATCAAACCTTCACAAACCCACTCAACACACACACACACGTACAAAATAAATAAATATCTACATTCACAATTAATTGATGTATGATATATGTTATGTGTTTTTATTCGTTATCGTTGTTATTCGTTAATGTTTGAGTTTTTCTTAATTTGTAATGTAAAAAAAATTGAAAAAAAAAACAGATTTGATTGTAAAATAAAAACAAATTTCCCAAAAAAAAATAACATTAAACTTGAGGAAATTTGAAAAAGTAATAAGACTTCCAGAAAGAAACACACACACACGCACAGAGAAGAAGTAAAGAAGAATCTAAGAAAGAAATCTAAAATGTATATAAGTATATATAAGACACATTAAACTGAAACACCAAAGAAAAAAAATCACACAAAATACCCAAAAAATCCTTTTTTCTTGTTTCTCTTTTTCGTTCACTCAAGAGCCCAATTCGTGAATTTTAAAAAACAAGTCTCACAAAAATCATAAAGTAAAATAAAGTAAAAAAATAAAAAATCAAGCAAAATCAAAACAAACACACACACACACCACCCCGGGCCCCAATAAAGACAGATTCACAAGAATAACCTATTTGTTTTCATAACTTGTCCATGAATTTTACAAAACCACAAGAAACCAATTTCTCTGATTCTAACCTTGATCAATTTCTTCTTCTTCTTCATAAGGTGGAGCAATAGGTAAACCAATCTCTCTTCTTTCTCTTTCTCTTTCTCTTTCCCTTACTTCTCCTTCTACTTCTTCTGCTTCAGGTACACTAATTCCAACTTCTTCTCTTTCTCTTCTTTCTTCATCTGAATCTTCAGGTCTAGAAGGTTCAACCAATAAAGCCCAAGTTTTCATTTCTTCTTCTTCTTTCTTCTTTAACTTTTCTTCATCTTTCCTATTCGGATCAAACTTTGTCACAAAACTCATAGATGGAGCTGGTAAGATTCCTCGTTGAACTTCTACTTGATCTTCTACCGACGTATTAGTCAGTTCTTCCCAAACTAATGGTGGTGCTGATGGTCCTTGATCAAGTTCTCTTTCAGGTTCGCTAATAGGAGCAGAACTTGCTAATCTGGCTATGTTTCCTAATACTAATTTATCATCTGTTGCAACATGTGCAATATATTGTCGTCTGTTTGATGAAGATGCAGAAGATGTAGATGTTCTACGCATCGGTCGTTTGTCTTCTGATTTACGAGAGGTCGTATAAGCTGGTGGTTCCGGTGGTAGATCCTCAAGATGAGGGTCATCTGGAAATATTGATCGAGGTCCCATGATGGGTTGGAGTGATGGATGCTGACTGATTTGTAAAGATGGTAATGAGTTATGTACAGAAGAAACTTCACTTCTTGCTCGATCTCGCTGCTCATCGGCCCTTTCAAGCTGTGCACTCTGACGTGTGAGTGCAGTCACAGTAAGAGCTTCTGTCTGACTTTCATCGGTGGCTAGTCTTTGTAAATTGAATGAAGTGATAGTCTGTGATAATGCATTGGATGATGAGGATGCCGTATGGAGCGTATCATGGCCGTGTGATGTGTTTGTAATAGGTGCCGAGCTTTGGTCTGTTGTTCCTCTCGACCCTCCAGTACCGCTAGCGTCATCTGAAAGACGTATGGACACGTCAGAAGGAAATCAACCAGCGAGTGTACGTATGACAAAATCTAGACGTACCTGTCAGAGGCTTTGGTGCACCCGAAAGCTCGTTGACAATCACAGCATCTGCACTAGAGCCAGAACAGCCAGAAGACGGACTTTGATCATCTTCGGTAGTCTTGTCAGTTTGAGTTCCTTTCATCTTATCACTGGCTCGATTACGACGTCGAGTAAGCCTAGAGCCAATACCACTCCTAAAACTCCGTTTACCAAGTCTTGGACTTTCATCAAGAATAAGAAGCGAACTTGGATCTATCTCTTGCTTCTTCTTTGACCCTTGATTTTTAAATTGAACAATCAGTAAATGTTTGATGGTCATCTTTTTCCTCTTCCCTTTCTCTGACATCTCATTGAGTTTTTTCTCGTCTGCTTCTAGAGATTTGTCACCTTCAATCTCAGCTTCTTCATTCCTCCTCATGCTTGATATTCGCTTGTTCTTCCTCCTTCTACCAACCAGACAAACCACTGTTCCGACCACTGAAATTGCGATAAATAAACTAGCAATCACTATCGCCGGTACAACATACATCGGTCCGCGCGGTGAAGTATGATTCCAACCAGCAGGTAGATCAAGGTTTGTGCTCGAATTCATGTTGTTGTTAGTGCTATTGCTAAAAGATGCATTGGATTCTAGTTCGTTTGTACGAGCTGCAAGGGAGGTATGATGAACGAGCGGTGCTGATCTGGGCTGTTTGGATGAACGTTGTACATTGTTGGTTGGAAGGCTACGAGCTCTATGTCTCTGACTAGGCCCTGATAGACCATAAAGGTTCCACTGAGAGAGTCAAGAAAGCAATCATTTGTGAGATTAGATAGAATTGCCTGAGAAAAGAAAAGGGGCGCACATTATCAGAGAGGACCCATGTTCCGTTTACGTTTTCGAAGTAGGTTGGAATGCTTGATTTGACGGGTATAGAAAGTCGATGAGATTGAGAAGGCGAGAAAGAAAGCTGTGAGTTGGGATGAGGAGATTCGGATGTGTGTTGTTGTGAATCTGATTCAGAAGGTGGATTTGTGGGTGGTGGTGAATTTGTATCATGAGATGAAAGTAATGCATCGAGGGTAGAGATTGATGGCAATTCATGCTGAAGTTTTTTTGGTGATGATGATTGATCAAGCTTTGATGTTGATAATGGTTTTTGAAAGAATGTAGCCGAGCGACCAGCGCTGCTGTCTGGATGAGAAGTGTATTCAAGAGATGATTGAGAGGTACTTGGATCCAAATGGAAAAGTGTAGATGGCGTGTTGGATGGATCACTAGTAGGTGAAGGGAATTGTTTGATGAGAGACGGTGAAGATAGCTGATCATTGAGATTCAGTCTTGATGAATCGGGGTTCGGTTTAGCTTGATGTAATGAGATAGGATCAAGGTTATCTTGAGGATCAGACCTATCATCGTTTTGATTGATTGAATCTGAGTGTGATTGACCAGAATGAGTTGTAGACTCGATTGGGATGGATTGAGCGATAGGAATGAATGAGGTGATGATGAGGATCGTAGGTAAAACGGTTGATAGTTGAATTCGAGATCGATTCGATTTCTGATGAGATTCAAATGAAGTTGAAGGTTGAGTTGATGAGATTGATTTAGTTTTTGTTCTTCTTGACCATTTGACTTGATTCTTGATTTGATTTGATTGATTTGATATTGAATCTGTTAGTTTGAATCGATAGTCATACATTAGAATGTCTGATTGATTGATTGATGAGTAGTCGATTGAGATGAAGTTGATATGGTTGAACGGTCAAATGGTGATTTGGAAGTAAGAATCGGTTAAAGTCTGATGATAAGTTTAGCTGCTTAAGTTAACTTGGTAAATAGTCAATCTCTTCTTTAAATTCTTGATTGAGATTCAGTCATGCTTTGAAGAATCGTGATGAGATATATATATCTTTAGTTTCGAATCGATTAGATTCAGATTGGATAGATAATCGAACAAACAACCATTCTTGTTTCCAGCCGGGATAGGTTGTATTTACATAAGTAGTCTGCCGAAGTTTAGGATTCAGTACATAAGCTTCAGTATGTAGCCTGGATTTACAATTTAGTTCATCAAACTTAAACTTCACTGAGTTCAACTTTCTCCCTTCGATGCTTCCTCTTAAAAGGAGTTCCTGTGAGAATGAACAGCCCTCACAGCGGCACGGAGGCTCGGAGCGGCACAATTACAGATGTCTAATTACAAAAATACCCTGGAAAGCTTGCGGAGATCCTTCACAAAACACCAAAATGGTCAAGTTCTTCGATTGGATTTGATCATTTCTTTTTCAACTTTTTACAAACTTTTAGTCTGGTCATCATGACACCGCTTTGAACAGCATGAACAGCGTGTGAATAAGATCATCCTTTCCTTTTCCATCAATCAAGACCAAGTTTGGACCAAGGATTTCTCTTGAATATTCTGAATGTATTTATCTAATTTGCCATAGATCAGATACATAAATTTCACCCTGATAAAATCAATCTCTAGGCCTACTGAAACCACATTTGCACTGCATAAATGCGTAAAATATGAGGTCTGGTACCTCTTAAGAGCATCTCCAACGCAGACCTGCAAACGTAACGTTTCAGACATACACGTAAGGTGTATTTTACGTTTGCAGGTCTAGGTCACAAATCGACCATCCAGCGCGGTCTGGAAACGTAACAGCTCACCATCCGTGTGAGCCTCAATATCCAGCAAACCCTGTTTCACACGGTCAGTACTCGAAATATGAAGTACCAACCGAATATTTGCAGCAAACTGTATTGTCCCAGTATTGGACGTACATTTGGCACATGTGGTGATAAAGTCACCACATGCGTCCTATTTTCTCGTTGTCCAACCAATTGATGGCTATTTGGTGGCTCGATTGGGTGAGGGTTTGGCAACTTAGGCAGCTCAAAACGACTCAAAAATTTATACCGATTTGCGCGTTGGATGGAACGAAGCTGGATATAAAATACAGCTGTCAAAGTTTTTCCAGCAAGCTTTTTTTGGCTCTGTATTCGGTTTACAGATCAGGTCCGCGGTGGAGATGCTCTAAACATATATATACACTGCGAATATAATGTATTTTTCCAAGGTGAAAAATGATTACATTTGTTTCACAAAATGATTAAAAACGCATTAATTCTGCATTTTTCTGCATTAATTCTGCATTATTAATCATTTTGTGCATTAATGTCAATCATTTTTCACCTTGGAAAAATACATTATTTTTGCAGTGATAGTAGATAAAAAATGGATTCAGCCTGATGGATGACACAAATCAGAATTCTTCTATGGGACAAGTGAGAGAAGTTAGAAGTAATCTACGAGAAATTTACCCCACAAGCCTCTCGCACCTTTGGAAATTCTAAATTTCTTATGTAAAGTTCTTTCAAGAAATTCTTCGCGTGTGCGTGACCGAGCAGAATGAAAATGACGCTAAAAAAGACCTCTGGTGCTTGACGTACAACTAAAGTGAATACGCACCGGGTATCCTTAACCCTGAGACCAGTGAACTCGCTACGGTCATTTGCTCCTGAAATTCGTATCGTATGGTACGTGAAGTTTTTCATTCATGTAATGCTTGTAGGACGCTTCCGATTCCTGGCGGTCACATTGATCGGATTTGTACTTTTACCGCCGAAAATTCTCCGTTCTAAAAATATCAGATTGGCACCGCCTTGAAATAGACTTTCAACCCCGACCAAAACCTTGAATAGCAATCACAAAAGAAGGGCTCCCGGCTGAGCGCTTGTCAAACGTGTTGAAGCCTATATGTGTGTTACAGTCCTAGACTACAATCCTGTATACGTAGTAGCATATCCTTGTAGCGGGGTTAGGTTAGATCACTTATATAGCCTCGCTCCACCCGGTTCTTTCCTTTCTTCACTATCGAAGATTGGATTAGTTCTCGGACCGGGTGAAGCGACGAGCGCTGACCTTTAGCTTTAACAGGTTTTGAGTCCCAGTTGTGATACCAGCTGTAGTTTGTTGTAGATGAACGGTTCTGCTTAAAATTTTTTGAACGATCGATGATAACCAGAAGTTCAGGTTCTAAAAAGAAACCCTCAGATAACAACGACGACACCCAAGTGCCCGAGAACAAAACCAATCCCGATTCCGACTCCGATAAGGACGTTGACTTGCTACCCTCCAAAGGGCAAGAAGATTTAGATTCAGATATCAAGTTAAAAGATTCAAGTTCAGATATCAAGATAGAAGATTTAGAAAACAGCTCAGTTCTAGTTTCGAGTTCAAAACATTCAGATTTAAAAACCCAGATTTCACAAGTTACTGTTTCAGATATGTCTAAAGATCCACCACCTCACCAAGTTTCCGATCATTACACCTCGATGGACTTCTTTGTTAAAATGCCCACTCTAGTTAACAAGGCTGTTGCCACGCTAGATGAGAATGGATCGAACTATTTACACTGGAAAAATGACTTGTATGTTTTAATTGATTTTATAACCAAGATTCCCGATTACCTAGATCAAGATAGAAAGCAAACTACTGGTGATGATGTGATAACTCAGATGATAAGGGTCTCAGTATGCGAAACACTCAGATTACAAGTCGACCCGAAAGAATCAGCTTTTACCGTTTTCAATCGCCTAAAATCATTATTTCATTTTCCTACTCGTTCTACTCATCTCAGCTTATGGAAAGAGATACTTCAATCTAAAGTCGATTCACCAGATGCGGTGGCAGCTCACCTGTCGAAGATGAAAGCTAAGGTTGAAGAATTACAACGCACCGGTTTCACTTTTACTAAGGACTCCTTTCTTAGCATCGTTATGCAGCTCGGATTATCTCAACAATTTGCCAACGTTAACACGATCTTAGACTCCAGATTACGCACAAACCCTGATACAGCAATCTCATCTCGAGAGACTGAAGAAGCAATCCGTAACGAGACTTATCGATTGGCGGACTCGGCCATAGATCTGTTACCGAACATCTCCGCTTTAAACATCAATGATCGAGGACATAATTATGCCACAAGATCTAGAGTACAAACGCATGCAAGTCAGTCATCTCAAAGACGTTACCAAACTCCGACTCAGAGTTCAGGCAAAACATACCCTTCAAAGTCGAACTTCAGGGTTGGACCGAACACTCCAGCTCATCTGAAGAACTGTTTCGATTGCGGTGGTGAGCACTGGTCTAAAACACCATTCTGCCCCAAGTCACCAAACTACGATCCCGAGCTCGCTCGACAAGAACTCTCTCAACAATCGTCATCCCGAGGTACCTTCAGAGCGAACATGGCTGATGCGTCTCACGGTTACGATGCGTCATCTCCACTACCTCACTCGGTCTACAGTAGCGAGGCATCTGTCACCGAAGATTGGAACGTGGGAGAGGCGGTACTTGACTCAGGAGCGACGCACCATGTCACAAATGAGGTGGGTGCTTTGCTCAACTACACTCATCTTCGATCCCCAATCCCACTGCATGTTGCAACAGAATCTGAAGGCAACTTTCTCACAGGAATCGGGTCGTTAATCCTCAAAAGCGACTCGGGTGCATCTATTAAAATCAAGGATGTGTATTACTGTGAAAGAGCGAAAGGAACCCTTATTTCCATGGCAGCTCTGGTGGAGGATGGATATGTTTTTTCTTTTTCCGGCTATGATTTATCTTTGTCTTTTGGATCTCATACATTAACGTCGAAATACAAGAATCGCCGATGGCTAGTTCCTCTCATCACAAACCCACCAAAACCACCTGCCTGTCAGACTCATGTTTCGTCTTGCCGTGCCCGAGTGTTTACGAAAGAGGAGAGCAATGAAGCTTTGAGATGGCATAAGCGCTTCGGACATGTAGGTCTTAGAGTGATCAAAAGGCTGCTAAGTAAAGAAATGACGACAGGACTTCCCGAGCATTTAGTGAACGCACCGTTTCAATGCCCTGACTGTCTGATTAGCAAGAGCCTCCGACATCAAACGATGGGTCCGTCGGGAAGAGAACGGCCCCAACCGCTTGAGTTAATTGTTTCGGACATTGCTGGTCCTTTTGATGGAGAGTTATTTGGTTTTAAGTACATGATCACCTTTAGAGACCTGGCTACAACTTTTACCGACGTTATGATTTTGAAATCAAGAGATCACGCACCAAGTGTTTTTCAGGAATTTGTTCTCAAGATGGAACGTCAGACATCATTTAAGGTCAAGCAACTACGAACTGATGGCGCCGGTGAATTTAACTCAGCAACTTTTCTTAACTGGCTCAAAGCTCATGGCATCGCAAAAGAAAAAACCCTTCCGTATGAACACAATCAAAACGGTGTTGCTGAACGCTCCATCAGGACGATTGGTGACATGGGTCGAACCATGCTGATTGCGTCAAAACTACCAAAGTTCTTTTGGTGTTTCGCCTACCTAACTGCTGGCTTTATTCATAACCGAATCCCGAATGTGAACACCGGCGATAAAACACCTTTCGAATTACTTTTTGGGAAGAAACCACATCTTGAAGGCTTACGCACGTTTGGAGAAGAAGCTTTTGTTCACATACCTTCGGAGAGGCGAGGTAAACTGGATCCACGAGCTCAAAAGTGTATTTTCATTGGTTACTTACCGGGCAGTAAAGGGTGGAAATTTTTCAACTTTGAAACTAAGAAGGTTGTTGAATCGTCTATGGCGGTTTTCTCTGATGATAAAGAGCCGGTACTTGAGGAAATCAAAGAACCAGAACAGTCAAAGGGTAATCTCAGTCACATCCTGAACGCTTTACAACTTGGAAGTTTCGATGCCGAGGAAGCGGTCATGCAACAAGATGCCCTGGTAACTTCTGTAGAAAACAGTCTGAAGAACGGTGATCCAACTATCCCAAAAACTTACAAGGAAGCAATGAGTCGTAGTGATGCAGATAAGTGGAGAGCGGCCTGTGAGAAGGAGATGGACCAGATGAGAGAGATGCAGGTGTGGGAAGTGTGTGATTTGCCTAAAGATCGTAAGGTGACTGATGCGAAGTGGGTGTTTGATATCAAGAGAGATGGAACTTACAAAGCCAGATATGTGGCTCGGGGGTTTACTCAAATCGAAGGGGTCGACTACCACGAGACTTTCGCACCGACCGCTACCTTTGCAGCTTTGAGAATAATCGTAACGGTTGCAGCAATGTTTGGCTGGAACACCTTCGGTTTTGATGTTACCGCAGCATTCCTTCATAGCCCTCTGGAAGAAGATGTTTGGGTAAGACAACCAGCCGGTTTTTCTTACGGACCGGTCTCGAAAGTACTCAAGTGTCTCCGAGCTCTGTATGGAACTAAGCAAGGAATGAGGTGCTGGTGGAAGTTTATCGCGAAAAAGCTTGAAAAGATGGGTTTTCGGCCTAGTCAATTCGATGCTAGTTTCTACATCCTAAGACGCGGATCCGATACTTGCCTCATCTGGCTCCATGTGGACGATGGTGCTGTAACCGGTAGTAGCACACGATTGCTGATGGAGATTGAGGGTTTACTCAAAGCTGAAATCAAGATCAAGTGGGAAACAAGCTTAGATTCAATTGTGGGTGTTGAAATCAATCGACCATCACCTGACCGCTTTGAAATGTCACAACCTAAGCTTGCAAACCGTATACTCAAAGACAATGCTGATCTACTATCTGTCCTAAGTGCTGAAAACCCCCTGAGTGTGTCAACCCGATTAGAAACCTCTGTGAATGTTCCTCCAGTTGATGGGGGGAGATATCTTTCGATAATCGGCTCACTAAGCTATCTTGCAGTAGGAACTCGACCAGACCTGTCTTACTCGGTGAATTTCCTTGCGCGGTATGGCAAGACGCCTCAAGAAGCTCACTGGAACGCGTTAAAACATCTTTTACGATATTTAAGGAAGACAGCAAGCATGGGTATTTTAATCAATCCTCGAAAGACGAAGTACTCAGCACCGATGGAGACTTTTGTGGATGCTAACTGGGGCGGGGAATTTGCTAGATCATCTTATGGGCATGTGACGAGATTGTTTGGGGTACCGGTAGCGTGGGTGGCGAGAAGGCAGGCGTGTGTAGCTACTTCAACTTGTCATGCGGAGTTTATGGCGATAGGAGCGGCATGTAGGGATTCAGTTTGGTTACACTCATTAGCAACGGACATGTTACCTGATTTACCACCACCATTACTTTTATGTGATAATTCATCGTCAGTACATGTTTCAAAAGATAATGCGGCTAACAAGAGAACAAGACATGCGGAAAGGGAGTACTATTACATAAATGAACAGCTTCACAAAAAGAAAGTCGACATTAAATGGATACCAGCGAGCCAGCAGGTTGCAGATATATTTACTAAGCCCTTAGGACCTACAAAACATAAAGAAGCAATCAAGATGCTAGGCATGACTGGGAGCTGAAGTTTTATTTTTTTTCATTTCATTTCATTTATTTTTTCATTTTTATATTTTGAGTTTTATTTTTGTGTGTTTTCTTTAGGAGGATTTTTGTCTAGTCCTGGGGGGGAGTGTTGAAGCCTATATGTGTGTTACAGTCCTAGACTACAATCCTGTATACGTAGTAGCATATCCTTGTAGCGGGGTTAGGTTAGATCACTTATATAGCCTCGCTCCACCCGGTTCTTTCCTTTCTTCACTATCGAAGATTGGATTAGTTCTCGGACCGGGTGAAGCGACGAGCGCTGACCTTTAGCTTTAACAAAACGGGCGGCGTTTCAATCTTCACTTTCTATTTGACTTTGACAACTTTTCGGTCGGAGAAAATCAGTGTCATCTTTTCATGTCAATTGACACTTGAAGCTTTGAATGATACAGCTACTAAATATATAAAAGGCATAAAAATACAAATTTGTGTCGCACCGAGATTTAATACAAAAGTATAAAACCTGTTAAATCCGATCGAAAGTGACAGGTCTCCCGCAAGACATTGTTGAATTGTGTCCAAAACTAGGTTTAATCTAGTTTTGGGCTCTCAGATTTTACTTCGGGTGCATCACACAGACAAAGAATTCTGCCGTTTAATTCTTTAACGGCTGTATGTATGTATGCGTCCAGATGCGTCCGATTTCCCTATGATGTAAGCGTATGCCCATTTGTTTTTGACACCGGCTTCTCAGAATTTGGTTCTCCTGAGATTGGACGCAAAATGTCAGAAAATGTTGCAAGAAAGTTCTCTTCACATTTTTCTCCTTCCTGCACCCGTCAACTCTACCCATCCTTCAAGATATCCCATACCCATATCAGGAACTCTCATCCCCACTGTGGTGTGCAAGTCAGCTGGACTTGATTGTCTGTAATTCCCGGTCAATACCACGTAGGGGTAAGTCTGTATTCCCTCAAACTCAATTGTGCAAAATCACAAAAGCTTTGTGTACCATGCCACAATTGAGCAAGATATATAAAAATCTAAATGGTCAAAAAAAGAGGCCACCTTGTGAAAACAATCTAGAAATTTTTGTCACAAGGAGATGATGTCAATCATGATCAAGTGATTTCAATGATGTGTTGAGCACTTCCTCCACAAATCTAAGCTCTTGCACTGTCACCCAAAATGAGACAGTTTTGAGTGAATCAAAGTGACTTGGACTATAGGCTATTAGGTGGTGTCCAATCCTGCTCCTCCAACCTTCCCATACAGGTATGTAGTCAATCTTATAAAATGCTTGTCTCAATCTGAACAAAGTTACAGGATTTTTTTGAGATCTTTCAGCCACCACATGACCACCAATAAATTCTCAACACCTTTCTTCAAGCCTTCTGACAAATCCCCAATGGGTGACATCAGGAGAGCACCTCATATTGGTTCACCCTATCTGCCTCCACCAAGATGCAGGCCCCTGCTGGCTGATGCTTCTATATTGTTGACTGATGACAAATCCAACCAGCCTGATCTCCCCTCTCCAGCCAATAAGTCATGTTCTCTTGCTTTCACCCTTGCAGAACTCCAGAGTCAGCTTCCAAGCCTTACTATAAACTCCACAAATAATCAGCCACCTTCCAATGCAACAATTCAGATCTTCAGGAAGCCCTTGATTTATCCAGCACCTACTCTGAGATTTCTTAGTTTCCAACAACACCACCTGAATTGTGCACTGAGCTCCAGGCCATGAAAGCTCAAACTGTCAAAGCTTTTCATGCCACCCCTCAAGCTGCCCCTCAAGCTGCCCCTGAAGCTATATTGGTGTCAGGTGCTGCAAGAGAAAAATTGTCTTGTCTTACTTCCTCAAACAATCCAAACTTGTCAGCCAAAAACTGCCTTCATTGTTGCACTAAAAACTTGATTGAGAGTCTTTTATCACACAAACATGGCTGAATCAGTCACCATATAAACAATGTGCAATATGCAGCCTTGCCTGGAACACCAATAAATGTCTGTGTGGTGCCCATCAATGGGAAACAGGGAGCAATAAAGCTTTGATTTTTTGGCCAACACTATGTCAACACCCCTCATTAAACTACTGAGGCGCAGATTAAATTGATCACTCCACCCCTTGGTATCACATGTAACACCTGACTACCATTTTCCATGGGATCCTTACATCCCAGGAACTAGACTTGCCAACTATCATCCAGTCCCTCAAGTCCAAATATCCATTGATTCTTAACTTTATGGACAATGTTTTTGGGCCAACTAGTACTATATTGATTTATGCAAGATCTTTTCCTGGCTTGTGATCCATCTCCAGGACCCTGTCCAGGCCAAGAAGGCAATTAAAGATTGCATCTAAGATTTATGAGTACCTCCCCAGCGCACCAAGCTTGCAAGAATTTGAGACTTGTGTCAGGTTACACCAGATGTATCCTCATGGAGTAGGGTGAACTGTTTCAAAGGGGGTCTCTGCTGATTTAAGAACATGTGATGATGATGAGACTTGTAAATTAGTGATAAAACTGAAAGCGGAGTAGTAAGTACAAGTAAAATTGGCATCAAAATAGTATCTTCCAAAGTCAAAATTGTGTATCTCAACCTTGAAAGAAACTCATAGTTTGATACAATTTGTTTAGGTGAATCTCAAAAGTACAGACTCAACTTACCTGAAGATACAGAGGACCCAATTACAACTGATATATGTGCAATCTGCTTGAGTGGTATCAAAAATACTGACCATCAACTGAAGTGTACTCAAGACAATGAAGCTGTTAATCCGGAGCATGGGGTAACCCACCTTCCCCACAACCAATGTCTGCTTGTAGGTCCCATAATGTGATGGAAATATAGATACACTGAAGCTACTTCTGATTTGATATGTTTTTGTTCAATCTAAAAACAGAAACTGAGCCAAGGTAAATCTGGAAGGCGGCTGAAATGCCCTACATGTTGCAGGTACATGAATTGGGTCTTCCAATGTCAAAAAGTATGGGTGTTCTTTATAACCAAGAAAAGTGCTGCTCTATGACCATACAAGTGTTATACTAAGAGCAATAACTTACAAACAACCTTAGCTATGATTATACAGCCATTCTATGATTACTTGCTTTTCTTGCACTTGTTTAACAATTTTGGCAATGTTGTCAACAAGACAAAATATGTGATTTTCCGGTATGCATATTTTGAAAATCGAGCTTTTACGTCGGTAGGTTCAGGGGAAGCTTTTCGAGGTCCTGGTCTATGTAACCTGGTGATATAGGTCCAAATTAATCGATTCAAAATACAGAAGGAATGTTGCACGACTTTCGACAGTCGAAGCAGCAATCTTTGTAGACTATCCTTTCGTTGAGTGGTTTGCAATTAATCCTAGGTCATCAAGTTACCGCTTAGGGCTTTTGAGAATCCATGAGGAGCTAGAGTACGTGGAGTATGGATTTAGAATGCTCCTGAAGATTCTTCCTGGCCATTTGGGAATATTTGCATATTCATAGTACCATCAGTGAGAGTATCAGGCGAACTTTCAGTCCATATTATATGATGCAATAGCCAAACCTGTTCAGAAACGAAATACAAACTTCACAAGCAACGACACCCGGAGCAAAACCTACATCTCCACAAAAATTGAAAAATAAAGTAAAATAGCCTAGAATCTCAAGTAAAAACAAGCCCACACAAAACAATCTCAAGCTAGTGATACGTTTTTTACCAGCCAAAGATCAAGTCCAAAGCGCGGTTCAAATAAGTGTCTGATCCTTCACTTTTGCCTTCGACAGAGTTTTGAAAGATCGCTGGATTTGGTTTACCGGCGCTATTTATCAAACCTTTCAAACTCAGTTCACGAGCTTGAGTTGGGGTAGCAAATACACCTTCGTGTGCCTCGTAAGTCTTTACTGGTCTACTGAGAATCGCATTCGATGATGAACGGCTGATAGGATCGGTTGAAGATGTTTCGGGGGGAATTGAATGATCATCAGCTGCTTTACAGCCGATCATGATGACTCCTCCTAGGACCTCCCCGTTCTTCCGAATTGCGCGCTGCGCTGCCCAAGCATGTTTGTAGGTGAGTGTGACCCAGTTACCACCATCTACAGATGGTTCCGGAGATTGAAGTAAGTCACCAATAGATGTGAAGTGTTTAAGGACGAATGCTTGTTGAGATTGAGCAAAGCCAAAGACAAAAACTTTGTAGCCTGCCGAACCGGTTTGTGAGTTGAGATCGTTAGTACTCGAAGATGAAGGTAGTTCGGATTGATATGTTTGGGATGTGGAAAGGCTTGAGCCAAGCGTCCGGTGTGCCGATGGGTCCTTTGATTTTGTCATATCATCCAACATGCAAAAAGTCAGCGTGTTTCTGACAAGAGGGACAACAACCGCATATGAAACTGTGGATCCTTTTGCTGATCAATACTCACATGTCGAGATTTGCTTTGTCCTAGATCGTCGTCGAAGAGAGACTCTTTTGGGGGCGCGTCATCCTCGAGCGCGTCGCTTAATCGCTTAGATTTGACTGACTGAGCTAGTTTGGTACTCGATCCAAACAATCCAGAATTACGAGAGTTACGCAGAGGCGTATTGACCCTAAATGATTTGTTTCAAAAAAATAAGTTTTCGAATCTTGCAAGAATCAAGAAAGACGAGAACAAACTCTTTAGGCGCAAAAAGTCCACCACCACCCGATCCACGATAAGTAGATTTACTGCCCGAGCCACTTCCCGAGCCTCTCAATCTTCCGTTGATAGCCGCGGATGGAATCCAATCATCCTGGTCAGCTGTAGAGTCGGCGCCAAAGCTGTTGAGGTTCTGATGTTGATTCGACGAAGCGGTGGAGATGTAACCTGCAGCATAATGTCGTGGGCCGTCTGAACCGACTGATGGGCTGAGATTGAGAGGCGGTCCTGAAGGGCTACCGCCACCATAGGGAGATGATTGTGGGAAGGGCATGGTTTGCTTGATCGGTTGCTTTTGAAAATTTTATGGCGATTGCCTTTCTCAACTCTCCTTCCTCAATCAAGCTAATACCCGGCTCCGAGGTGGCGAGAATGTTGATTGTTGATCGGTATGCGTCCCGTGCAGCAAGTCCGGCTGGGTACCGAGGCATTTTTCACGACTTCATGCAGATCTCTCAGCATGCACAGTTGGAAGGCGCCCTTCCCTTCTTCACACCACACCAGCAGACGAGGAGATAAATCGATCGAGTTGAAAGCCAATGAGCTCACGATTCCAATTCATTGGCTCGCTGTGCCTTCAGTCTGTCCCAAAGGGACGTTATCCTTCCAGATGTCCTGTAAAACATCGACCTTATCATGCTGCTGCACCGAAGAACACCGCAGTCAAAGCCATCACATACACCCAGAACGGGGACCCAACTGAAGGGGGTGACTTCAGGTCACTTGCGTAGTCCGATTCAGGATTTATCTCATTGATGCGTTGTTTTGCTATTTTTGATTGGGGTGGGATCAAATCTGAACCCAGGTGGTGCAATACAACTCATATCTCTTACCTGAACCTCGGCCCAATGAATTGCGGTTGAGGATGAAGTTATCGCCACTCAGTTAAGCTCTTCCACATTGCTAGGAATTGGAAAAACCTATTGGCTAAATGTTTATCATCCGCAAAAACATCATCAGACCCCGCCGATATTAGTAAGCTCAGTGCCAGATCATCCAGTTTGATCGGTCTAGGTTTACTTTTCTAAGTCTTGAGGTATTCGACAGACACCATACAGGGCCGCTACCCTTGGAAACCCAAACCTCGTACGGATTTGATAGGATTAGAGAATCAGTCGGTTTATATCGCTGGGAATGAAGGATTGGGTGTTGTTGAGCAGCTGGGCTCAGAGGTCGATCCTCATGATTGGCGTGTAGGGGATTGGGGTATGTTCTTACAAGCTGAACCCACACTGAACCCACATCGCGCAGTGTACTGACCTTGAACCGCCTCGTGTATATATCCTCACGGTGCCTATGCGGAAATGCAACCAATTTGTGTCTATCTGTCCAGTCATCATGGTCAGCCCGTAGGATCCTAGAATAGCTGGTACATCTGCATTCCAGCTTATAGAACAGTTTTTCTGCTTCTTGGCCACACCTTTAGGGAAAACCGCAACTAGGAACTTGGCAATCGCATACCAATCTAAAAGCTACAGATCTGATCAAATTATCTAGGTCGGAGAAATTGACCGAAGTACAAGCAGCAACGATGGCTGTGAATCTTGCCACAGCCTTCAGACTTATCAAAGATTATTACCACCCTGAAGACCCGCATTTCAAAGGTCAACTCCTACAATTTATCTTGAGATATTCTTTCGTCAGATGACTGATCAGACTGAAACGTGAATAGATGGTTGGATCATTCAAAATGGCGCAAACTCGAGTGTTGGTCAATTTGTGATTCAGCTGTGCAAGGCTTGGGGTATAGGCTGTATCGGGTTTGTCAGGGATAGGTTAGCGCAATTTTCCTTACCTCTGGATTCATGACTCGTCAATATCTAACGCGTTATTTGTTCAAAGACCCGAAATTGAATCCCTCAGATCTCATTTAATTGGACTTGGTCAACCCGATCGCACCAAGATCATTACACACGAAGAGTTTGAATCTGATGAAAGCCTGCGTACCCAGCTAAAATCCCTTAACATTTGTCTCGGATTCAACTGCGTGAGCGGCTCAGTGACAAATCAAATCATGAAAGTCTTGCGACCAAATTCAAGCTTGGGTGCGTCATCACAGCTCACCTAGTTGCAATTATCATGTCATTTGAATATAGCCATTGATTGTTCGCCTTTCACTTGACCAGTCACTTATGGAGGGATGTCAATGAAACCAATCACCGTGCCCACCGCTTCGTTGATATTCAAGAACCTGCAACTGAAAGGCTTTATGCTAACTCAATCCCTTTCAACGCAGCCTGCATCTGCCAAAGCAGACCTCATGAACGATCTCCTTGCCCTGGTGGAGAAAGGACAAGTGTCAGAACAAGCTAATGCTGAGATTATCGATGTCGATGGACTTCCCAAAGTACAAGATGCACTTATGAAGGCTATGGGGGGTAAGACTGGTAAGAAGTATCTCCTTCGATTTTGAACCTGAAAGCAAGAACGTTTCAAGTTCTATCTATTTTTGTTCAACGACAATTGCTTTACTTGTAAAAGATATGCCTGAATGCAAGATCAAACCCAATGATCTCATCACTGCCTTAATTCAGCGGCCAGCCTACAAATCCCAAATCAGAGTTCCTGGAATACCAGAAGGTTCCAATGCATGAAGCACTTGACTCTCAAGATAACTACCCTCAAGAATTTTGCAACCTTTTGGAACTGTGTAATACCTACACCACTGGGGTACTTTTCAGAAGAGGG